ATCTTGGTCTTGTGTGTGTATATATATATATTTGTATTTATTTGTTTAAGTTATCTGTTTCTCAGTGTGCTGCTTCCATGGATGTCAGTGTTGGTGCTTTCAGCGACCCTGATGGCCTGGAGGGCCTTGCCCATTTCCTTGGTAACTTTAATTTCTTTAATGTTTAATACTATTTTATCTTGTTCTGGTATATGGATATTGGATGCTATATTTGGTATATATTTGGATATTGGATTTCCATTAAAAATCAATGCTAAAGAATAGCACTTCCAGTTTGATTCTGTTGCCATTTGGGTTAGCAGTTCGTGTTCTTTCTATGGTACATGGTAGTCTCTGTAACGCTTACAGAGGTTAATATTTCTTATTGTCAAACAAAAATCGGGTTGGTTAAATTGATCACTGGAGGGGTTTTTTTAGTGGTGAACTAGAAGATGAGTTCATTATATATTTTCATGACTTATTGTTCGTAAGCTTTCATGAGAATGGGGTTGAAAAAGAATAAGATGTTTCATGACATTCTTTTCTGAATATTGCATGTGTTTTATTGCAGAGCATATGCTGTTTTATGCTAGTGAAAAGTACCCCTTGGAGGATAGTTACTCAAAGTACATCATCGAGGTACTTATTGCCAGACTTCACAGCTACACTGGGTCCTTTTGAATGCTTTCAATCAAATAAATTATGAATGGATTTTTATTCTTTTCCATGCTCCTCCGCTTTCTGTTACTTATTGTCAAACTTTGTTGAATGTAGTGGAAGTTAAAAATGATACAAAAGCAAATAACACAGCATAGACTAAGACATTCTTGCTAGCATACTGGCATACAGTCAAACTTTGTTTGAAGATAATTTCTAATGTGCATCTTCTTTGAGATTTCTGACAGGTGTTCTTATTACTGTTTTATGTTTTTTGAGATCACAATGGAAATTCTGAGACCACTGTTCCTTTTTCAATTGGTTTATAGAATTGTGATTGTGTTGTGCGCCATCATTTCCTTAATCCAATCTCATTTATGGGCCACACTTCCCATTAT